GTCTGCAAATATGATACATGTGTAGTAAGCGAGACTCCTTTAATCTACGGATAAGCAGGGCAATCATACAGTATTGTTAAAGAAGCCTGGATAATACGCCTAGCAAAAGAGTTGGTATCTGCCTCGGAAAAAGTAATCAGTCAAGATCTACAGAGATCTAATGGTTTATGTGTCAGCCAAATGATGTTAAATACATGAACACATGAGGGATTTCCTGAGGCAGCCAGGATATGTGCTTGATTACACTTTCTTTACAATCGCATTTGTTTAACATCATGCATTTAAAGAATGTTACCTATGGTAGCCCAACCCTTTGAATTTAAAGTGTGTATATTGGTAAAACACAGTCCACAGGATTATAATTAAAGCACTCTAGTATTTGTACATAATAGAGTTTGTCTGGCGGCTGGTTTATCTCTGTCAGTCCCAGCTGATGTTCTGACTTCTGAAACCTCCTCCATCATTGCTGGCGTTGTCTGCGTTGACAGCATGCTATGTTGAGTATCTTTGTCTGCAGTCGTATATCTGACTGTGTGGAGCGGCTACACCTAGTGAAGCACTCTCTGAAATCTTTTCCTTTGTGATTTTAGACAATGTTTGAGAATGTAATGGAGTCATGAATGGGTCACAACCTTAGCTTCCGTTGAAATAGATTTACTGTACAGGTGTGTCACAGTGCCCTTACGGCCTTTTCTTTGATTATACTCATTACAAACTTGCACATATATGTTTATAGATATTTTAATTGCGTCATATGCTATCAAACATTTCCTAAGTTTGTATGGAAGGCATTTGGTAATTGGTATTTTGTGCACTTTGCATAAAGACGGTGGCAAAAGACCAGAGGCAAGGACTGTTGGAGAGGAAATGCCTCATGACAAAGGCATGGGGCCGGGACACCTTTTCAGTTCGTCACCACAGGGGGGTGAGATGTAGATTTGAAGTAGGAATTCGCAATTGAAGTTGTGTCTCGTTCGTTTTAACATTCATGTTAACTTGACAAAAAAAAAGAATCTGGTCATGAATAGAGATCCTTAAAAAAGTCATATTTATCCTCTATAAGTTTGTGTATGTGTCTGGTTGTCATCTGACTGCGGTGATATATAATTATATATTTTTTAGTATTAAATATTTTTATTTCTTTCATATAAGCCTAATTAGGGGGCTTAAAGTTTGCTTTTATTAATTTAATCTACATTCTTAGTCTTAACATTCTTCTCGTTTGTCCATAGAAGAGAAAGAGACACTGAGCATGAGACATATCAAAGGACAAAATAATTCAAACTGTCTTTTTTGAAACTCCTAGAGATTGTCATCAATTGTCTGATTTGGCAGAAATACATATTTATGGAATGCCCCCCCCCCCCTTTACGAGGACATGCAAGTTGCCTCTTACTGTAGGTTTGTTCCTCTGTGTTTACAGAAGCTGTGCGCTCTTAAACATGGAATAGGTCCATTTGAGGTGATGAAAGCTTAAATGGATGGCATTGTATGTTATGTCTGGCAATCAATCACTGGTTTAAAAGGAACGGCTTTCTAGTCAATGCAGTGTTCTTATACGCAAATAGATAAACCGAAAAATAGTATCACGTTTTACAAGACTATTTGATTTTCTTTATTAGGCAGTGTAAATACATTGTTTTCCCTTGAGAACTGCTCCCCAAAGCTTTTTTTCTAAAACCATTAGTATCCCATTCTTCACTTTAGAACAGTTCATCTCAGCGTTAGCAGGGAGCGTGCACTACCTCATTTCAGGCTTTAATATACTGAGCCGTGAATGTCAACACGTTTCCTGCTGGTTAGATTGCCCTGTAGGGCAGTGTGAGCATTGCTTATCGGTGCGGTCATTATGTCTCCATTAGGCTTAGAAAATGATGTTGTAGAAACACTCCCCATTATTCCTAAACACAATGCAGATCTGCTAACACTTTTAACTCACAACGGTGTTTGATAAGCCACCTACAGTATATTGCAAATCCCTGCTTTACTCCGTGGAATATAAATGAGGCCTATTGAGAAAATAACATGACCTTTTTGGTGGTGACCTTTTTGCATGTACGAGATATTTACCTTTATCTTCAGGAGAGCTACTTATAATACTCAATTATTTCTTGACATGTTTTCAGATAAGATTCCAATAACAATCTTTACAAAAACTTAAATAGAAAGGAAAAGCCAAATCATAAAGCTCCTAGTGGGCTGCTATCAACAATTGTGTGTATATTTCTGGCATGTACTCCCATTCCTCTCTCTATCAATACCCCGGAGCACTGTGTGGAAAAGAAAGTACACAAAAACCGTGGTCCTCTGAGAGAAGATGACTCCCTACCCTTTCGTTGGATCTGAGACACATTGCATAAAAAATCATCGAGATGGAACTGGGTGTAAATGGGCGTGCATTGTTTGTGGAAGGCAGGATGGAGGGATCTAGGAAAATGGGGAGAGATAGTGCAGAGAAAGAGATGGAGAGACATGCCTGAACTTCCTCTACACCAATTCTTTAATGCTCACTGAGAAGCCCCGCAGTGCAGGCTTTGTCCCCTCATTGTCACAGGCTTATAGAGCCTCTTTGCCAAGTGAGAGGCTTTGGCGACATATGTCACTTCAGTGAGTCTCCTGTCGCTCCTTTAGTCGCTTGAGTGTTGGGGCGGGCAGGGAGGCGTGCCTCTGCACCATGAGAGGAACGACGTGAGGTTAAGGAGGAAGGACATGTCAGATATGTTGGTTCAGAGAGAGTTGCTGGAATGATCTCTTGATGGTCCTGCCCTGTAAAATGTTTTGTATGGACTTGTAGTTCAGCTGCACTCTGATAGAAGTGGACTTAAGATGTAGAATGACTCAGAAACCAGTAAGTAGAACTGTTACTTCATGTAAAGTGTTCTGCCATTTTTACTCTCTGTTCTGACTGTATATGTATTTGAGTAGTAGTGTTGTATAATAATACGTGTTCAGATGATTTATGCTTTACTTTACAGTCTTTAATTTGCAACGATATATCGTAGTCTGTAGGGGTGTGTGTTTGTGTGAGGCCGATTGAACTAAGTTTGAGTTCAAAGAAAGGGAGGGGGTCATTGTATACAGTGTGTGTTGGCAAGGATTAGTCATGTAGTCACACTCTTCGTGCCCTAGCCAACTATTGGTTTGACACAATCCCTGCAGATTTGTGGCTGTGATCTGCCATGTGTTCAGGTAACAGATCCCTCGACTTCCCAAACAAATGCTTTGTGAACTGTTTATATAGTGACTCCACCCCATTTTATGCTCTAAGGATTTTGCCTTTCAAACAGACTGTCAGTTTTGTTTAATTTATGATTAAAGTGACAGGTTTTCAAATCTCCACGTGCATGTGGAGTAGTATAATCTGTCTAACCCACAAAGTTGCTTAACTGGCAATACAGTATGTCTGCTGTGTTTGTATATAAATTGACTGGTTGTTGGTAGGATTAATACAAATGTGGATAAAAGGTCCCACTTCTCAAGTCACTGGTGGACTGTGTACCTCCTGCCTATCAAGGACTCTGCATGTCCTGCTGGGCTTATGTGATTTTCTGTCTGTGATTATGTGCAGGCGTGCTCATGTGTGGGCCTGTGTGTGTAAATTATAGCACACAATAGCACCAGACAGAGAATGATAGAGGCTTACAGCTTTATTACAACATGAACATGCATGTTTACCCCACTGTGACAAACATCTATGCAGCTTTGTTTACCATTCAATCCGATGGAGGATAATCACAAAAAAGTCCTTATTGCAAGTACTACTCTTCCACAATCTCTGAATTTGTTTAATTGATTCTAAATTCAAGCAGCTTAATCCTGCATCTAGTCCACAACAATTACCAAATTAACCTTGCTCACTGAGAAGGGGCAACGCATGCAGCTTTGCGTCCTTAGAAGAACCCAGAGCAGCACTCAGTCACTGTTAAGCAGCGTACTGTATGACTGCCGGGGCTCCCTCTTTCATTCAGCTGATAGCAGGATTAGCTGGAGGCTGGACCCATTTGGCATTGCCAGTGCTGCCGTCACAGTCTCAGCACTGTGAGAACTAAGCCGTGAAATACTAACTGGCTTAGACCAATTTATAGTCTGCCATCTTGGATCTAGCTGTCGTAGCAGACTGCAGCTTTGTGCCAGGTGGGTTTACTGTAAGCATGCTATGCCATGTCACCAGCCAGGCTTTACAGTTCAAAGGGTAATCTCCAGCCAAGTGTTGGGCTGTGTTGTGCTACGAGATCACAACAATGATGAACAAATAATGCTTAATAGTACAATAATATCCTCAATGGGACATTTTGAATACATTAAGGAAATGTTCTTTAAATGGGCCTTTTATTATAGAATATAAGTTTTTCTTATGTATACATGGAAAATCCAAATGTATTTATATACAAAGTACTGATTTTGATAACTCTAAAAACATAATTTCCAATATTATGTATTTCCTTTCTCTCTATTACTTCATTTGAGTGTTAACCCTTCCAATCCATTTATAAATGCCTTAAAGTTACATTTTCTAGCAATAATAAAGAACAGGTTTTTCCTGAGGTACAGCGAGTTGAACAGGAGTCGTTCAAGTATTTAAAAAAGGATAGGCATTGAGTAAGATTTTGTTTGTGTATTTGCGTTGTGGTTTTCTATACTGTCACTTGACAAACACAGTATAACGTTTAAAGTAAACAATGCTAACTTAAATGGAAACTTTGACCATTTTAAACCAGGTTTGTATCGTTGCAATGTTGTTGGTATGTATAACTGAACCATGTTCAGCTTCCTCAGTGTTATTGCCGGTGTTAACTCCCCTCAGTGACAGGCACAGTTTCCCTATAAGTGTGTTTGTTCACAGCTCATTTAGAGAAAAGCATCTCCCCCTCTGTGATGTTCATTAAGTGCAGCATCTCTGTGAAAAGAACATATGCTTGTGATCAAACTGTTGTTGTTTTTCTCCAACTTTAATCAGTAGATTCATCTTTTAAAAATAAATCTTACTCTGACTCTTTCAGGTCCTCTTCCATGTGCCTTACAAATCCCAAGTGACGCCAGTTGATCCATATCAACACGTTCTCCTGATCTCTGCTGTCTCCATCCACCAGTGGAGGGTGATGAGGCTGGTGGGGAGCCTGCAGCTTGTTCTGCTTTTGGTCTTCAGCTCCACAGCCACAGGCCTCAACATCCCTCTGGAAGGTAGGAATGTCATGATACAAATCTTTAATATATTATCTTATTTATAAATCAAACTGGTTGCTTAATGTTTAATCTTTAATTTCATCTTTCTGTTTTGGCATTTGTCAAAAAGTGTGTGTTCTTTTTTTTTAGCTGTCTATCACGCTTAAGTAAATGTTAGCTGCTTTTAAAAAGATGACTAACAAATAACACCTTGGAGTAAATTGTTTAACTCACGAGTGTTGTAGCAGAGGCTTCTTTGTTTAGGTCTGTGAATGCTTTGCAAATGCTGGGATGCTGTTGTAGTTCAGTGTCTATCTCTTTATTTTTCCAGAGTTTAGCATGGTTTGCATACAACTTTACCACATTACTGACTTCTCAGCTTTATATAGGGCAGTAGCAAATAATATGAAACAACAGAAGAATATGTGTGTTCTTAATCCGAAATGTTAACGTTCAACACTTTTGTGATCATTTTGTCTTTATGTTTTGTTTTTATAGTGGAGCAGCCACCAACCATAATTAATAGCTCATCTGGTCCCATTATTGCACTTCCTTTTGACAAGTCCATTACCATCCAGTGTGAAGCCAGGGGCAACCCACCACCAGAGTAAGTGACATCAGCATGATCTCTGTCATAATTAAGCAAATGGCTGATTAAGGATGATCTGTGAGAAAATACCACAGCTTTCCACTTTGTCACATATGCTTCTGTTTATCAGTGATAGATGGATACTGTGTATTTTGCTCCAACAGATACAGATGGACCAAAGATGGCAAAGACTTCATCCCTCCCCACGTCACGACAAACAGACATCACCCAGTTGGTACATTCGTGCTTCACAACAAGCAGGTTGTCGAGTTTCGTGGTACATACCGATGCTACTCTTCTAACAAGTTGGGAACTGCCATGACGGAGGAGATTGAACTTAGAGTTCCCAGTGAGTAACCTTTACACAACAAGCTCAGAAATTACCTTAAAAGGATGACTAATGCTTTTCACTGTCACCGGATACGTTTTTTCTTTTTGTTTAATCACTGTTTTTTTTTTTAATTAGATGTGCCCAAGTTTCCAAAAGAGGTCAATTCCCCCCTCGTTGTTGAGGAGGGAGATCCAATCATCCTGGAGTGTAACCCTCCAGAAGGAGTAGCCCCAGTTAAGATCTACTGGATGTCTATTGGTAAGCAAAGAAGGAGCTGCTGTTAATTGTTACTTTTATGGTGGATATATCTGTTGGTTGATAGTTTTGGACGGGGACTTTCAAAATGTTTAACATATTTACTGTTTGTGTAGAGAAATGTGTGACTACTCTACTTTTGTATTACTTTCAAATTGACAGCACAAGTACAACTAGGCATTATAATAATACAGAGGATGATAATGCTCATAGCAAAGAAGCTCAAGAAAATTGCAATTATTAACAAATCGGCATGTGTGTCGAAATACCATTCTCTGCCGCGCTGTGAGGAAAGGCTACATGTGTTTTTTTTTAAACAATATTATAGTATTACCACTCTAAATGCCATATATGATAGACTATCTTTCCGGTCGGCTTTTAATGATCTATTTGGTCTACTATTGTTTTTGTTAAACCCTCCTTGGAAAAGAATGTTCACGATGATCACCGTGAAAATGCTTCTTCTCCTTTTAATTTGTATGGATGAGCTAACTTGTCTCCTATTCATCTGAAAGCCGTAACGCAAAGAGGATGTGGTTGACAAAATCCATCAAACACAGCAATATGCATACGTATGGTGGATATCATTTGTTCATAGAAAAGCCTTAATGTAAGATGTTTCCCGATTATAGGCCCATTCATTAATTCGCACCATTTGTAATAAGATCAACCACTAGGTTTTTCTGGTGGTGAATTTGCGGAAGTAGAACAGTGTACTTAATTTTCTGGTGACATAGTTAATGAAATAATATAACCAACGTTGTGTTAGTTAAGCATTATATATCTTTTTTCTGCTAAAAGAAACATGTACTACGGTAACATGTTACCCCCAATACAGACTAAAAGCAGTCTGTATTGGGAGTCAAATAAAGACTCTTGAAGCCCCTGGGACACTTTCAGTTGTGCTTCACCTTTGCTTTGTTAATGGTGCAGGTGGTATATTGATGGAGGTCTGTCTACGTCACTTCTACTGAAAGTTTATTAGGGATAAAAACTAAAAGCTGGCACTGAGTTTGGGAGAGCCATGTGGTTGTCCTCAGTCTCCACTGGCCATCAGTGAAGTTAAGAGTGACAATAAGAAGGAAGACACACTCGAGGCCCACAAAGTTTCTTCACACCGGTGCCAGAGACAGTGATTTTAAAAAGTCACCTCAGTTCAGTCTGAAGTGGTTTGTCAATATTTTTCTGTCCAATCCCTTGAGAGCTCCTACAACACACCTGTCTGATGTCAGAAAGAAAAAACGGGTTTTGAAGTGGATAGGGCCTGGAGGCATGGAGCAGAGTCAATGAATACACTGCTGCACAATTCTTGTTTAAAAATCTTTAAAAAATAAAAAAAAGTTTACTTTCCTGTGTGTCAAAGAATTGATTTCAAAATACTGCTGCTGGTTTATAAAGCATTGAATGGTTTAGGGCCAAAATACATTTCTGACCTACTGCTAAATTATGAACCATCCAGAACTCTCAGGTCTTCAGGGACTGATCAGCTTTCTGTTCATGTTTCATTTTTGTTGAAAGGTGCCTTATAAATAAACTTGCCTTGCCTTACATTTTAGTTTCACATGACACATTTTCCAGGGATTGTCTTAACATCCACAGTCCACATGCATTATAAAAAACAAATCTTTTTTTTATGAACATTGACCAAACAACCAATGACTTAAGGCTTTATTTTACTTGAATAATGGATCTGTGGAAACCAAATATGCTGTCACAGTGCACTTACAGTCTTACAGTACCAATTCACCGACTCTATACAAGGAAAAAACGTCACGGCATTTCCATTAACGTTCCATTAATGACAATGATGCAATTTACTATCATGTGACCTAAGTCTCATTAGGAAGCTCTGGTTAAAATCACGCACACTTGGATGCATCATGAATAGCTCTGGTTCACTTGATGGATATACTTGAGATGTTCTGTCTAATTAATCTGCTGAAATCATTGATATAAATGTTCTTTTTTTCAGGTCTTGAGCACATTGAGCAGGATGAGAGGGTTTCTGTGGGCACTGATGGCAACCTGTACTTCGCTTATGCATTACTGAAAGACAGTCGTCAGGACTACTGTTGCTTTGCCTCCTTCACCAAAATACGCACCATCGTCCAGAAAACCGCCATGGCTGTCATTGTCAAGAGCTGTAGGTTAACCACAATACAGCCAGCAGTACTTCTGTCACATTTTCTATTTGTATAGTACTTGATAAAATGATCTGGGAGCACAATATATTTTCCATAGACTATTACAAATTGTGAATCATTCCATGAAGGACAGATCCCTGAGATCTTCACTCTCTAGCAGGGCTTGTCTTGTCATGTTTATTGCTCAATGATAATCTGTTATGACTACTGAATTCAGCGATATATATCGGTGAAAACAAACGATCACTACCCGTATCATTCTCAAGATGTTTGTTTTTGTTCCAGCGAAACCTGGCAATGAATCTGCTGACAGCGGGGAAGCCAGTGAGTGATATTCACACATCAAAGCCTTCACAGTAAAACACATTCCATATCATGTGAACAGGCAGCGTTGCAGGGTTGATTTGCATGTTGCAAACACTCTGCAGATAACAAATTGACTCCAGGCGTGTGTGTAGTTAACTATTATTTAAACATTGATTAAAAAAGGAGAAATTACTGAAGGAGACTGTTTTCTATGTCTAAAGCAGCCGAACCCCCCGCTGTGAGGATGCCCGGCCTGCTGCTGCCCTCTGGTGTTCAGACAGAGAAGGTGCTGCTGAGGGGAAAGCATCTGGAGCTGGAGTGTATTCCTCATGGATAGTACGTATATGTGCAATATCATCACTGTACACTGTATTATATATTATTAAACATAATAAATAAATGGCAGATTAATAACTTAATTTAAACTTTAATGTTAATAGTTTCTATACTTACGTTATTTTCATTTATAATATGATCAATGCATTGATAAATTATATATTGTATCGTAGCTGATGAGAGGAGATAACAAATACAAATATTTGTTAATATTACCAGACAAAACATTTAATTACCATTAACAAATGATGTTTATACATGCTTTGCAAAGTATTTATTAACTAATTACGAATTCAATATATTCATCAACTTGATAGCCACCTGAAGAGTGTTTATAGACAGATTACAAACTAATTATTAGCCTTAAATATAATGTTACATCCATCTCCATATTATGTATGCATCAATACATTGTTAAAATAACTTACATTTCAACATTTATAATAATCTGTAAACATTAGTAATTAATATAATAACTATTGACTACTTACTCAACTATCAAATACCATTTGGTTATAGATCTTTTTATTAATCATCCTATTCATCTGCTATTGTGGCAATTGACATGTTTTTTCATGTCGTAGTCCGACCCCGAATGTAACATGGATGAAAATGGGAGAAACGCTGCCTTCACGGACAAGTGAAGGCAAACATGGAAAGCTGTTGTCCATTTCCGCTGTAGATGAGAGTGACGCTGGGAAATACATGTGTAAAGCCCAGAACTCTGTTGGAGAGGCTGTCCACTACTTTGATGTAATAGTGGAAGGTAAGAGCTAATTATGCATGTATTTGTTGCTGCATTTGGTTTTGCTTGGAGGATAAAGCTGTTTTTAGTTTGTTAATTCAACAAGTGTCTTGTTAACGTCTCCCAGAGCCGCCAAAGTGGCTGTCAGAGCCTCCTCAGAGCCAGCTGACCGTGATCGGGACTGATGTTCACATCAAGTGCTCGGTCAGTGGAAAACCATCGCCGGACATTACATGGAGGAGGAATGGACGACTGTTCAAAGGTGAGTGGAAATGATTCTAGCTGTAGTTTTATGCATATTATAACACTGGGCAGGAGAGCGGTGCAGCAAGCAGCTATACACAGCTTAAACCACCAATATTATATTGTTTTATACTGGAAGAGTTTGAGTATTTTTGTAGTATTTTATGTATTCTTACGGTTGTTTTTCTTTGTAGCATATACATTTTAGTTAATTTCCACTGAAGTTTAACTCTGCTATGTGAAGGTAAAGTTTTGTATTCAACTGTAAAATGTCCTGCCTGAGTACACAACTGTCTTTATGTAAAGGGTTTGTGTAAGAAGATTATAAATATTTCTGGAGAATAAGAACAAGGCTTAACATTTCGATATTGAGAATGTTTCTCATATTGATCTAAAAAACGTTGTAAAGCAAAACCTACACTGATGTAGTCCATTGTTAAAGACTTTGATGATTTATGTATGACTGTGTGTTCCTGTCAGACGACCCAGTGAACAACAGGCGAGTGCTCGATGACACCGTGGTGCTCCACAACGCCAAAACAGAGGACAGCGCCGTCTACCAGTGTGAGGCCTCCAACAGCCACGGCAGTATTCTGGCCAACATTAACATCATGGTGATGAGTGAGTATTACTGTCAAATTGAAACCTTACACAGCCAGTGAGGAAAAAAGTATTGTCTTATTAACACAATGGCCAATTTATCAGGTTCACCTGCCAAAAGTAAATGTTGTATAGTTAGTTTGAGATCAAAAGCATTCCACAGCTCCTTTACATTTTGAGATGGTTTTATTCTCTCTACAAACATTGTTTTTTCTGATCACAAAAGGTACAATTGCACATTATCCTCAATCAGCCTGCATTCCATCCATAAAGCCGAGTTTGACTTAGCCACGGCCACTCATAATGACTCAAGTCTTGAGAGAAGAAAACCCTCTCAGCTTCACCTTTTTTTTCAACACTTATGATTCAGTTCTTCTTCTTAATGCAACCGACATTTGTAAGAAATATGCAAATGTCTTTTTCGAATGAAAAAAAACCCTCGACATAACTGAAAATGTCAAAATAATTCTCAGCACTTGGGCCTCTATAAAAGATCATTTATCTCTCAAGTATTGCAAGAGGTGTGATGCCTGTGCCTGCATCTGAATTATATCTGTGTTTTCAGTTATCTGCTCGCTTTCTTTCTTGTGGAAAAAAATCACTCATGGGCAATAACTTGACATTTGAGCTGCTGTTATCTCTCCTCCTTACCTTGCTCTTAGATATGGCTCCTTTGATACTGACAAGGGACTACCAAGAGTACGCTGTAGTATTAGGAGGGGACATCCTCCTGAACTGCAGTGTTTTCAGCTCTCCGCCCTCCAAAATCTCCTGGTAAGTAATCACCCAGAAGAACAGGTATATTAGTCTGTCCTTTTGAAACATATAGTGTTAAAACAGAAAAACTCTATACCTTTTTCAATGTGAGAGGTTTTTTCCAGGGGACAGTACATACCGCTTTATCAGTCAGTTTGAAATCAGTTCATCAGGAATAAACCGGAGCACATGCTCACTGCAGTGAATCACGCTAGCAATGACACACTGCTTCAGGTGTTGGCATGACATAGATGTGACATTTATACTTGTTTAATGAGATAATCCTCCCCCTTGCCTTGAAATTGAGCTAATTGTATCTGAGAAATATCACTGCAGCTCTGCTACAGATCCACAGAAGGGAAATTGGATCTCAGACGATCCATAATACGATAGCTTTACAAGAACCTTTTATGTTTAGCAACATTCAATTCATTGAAATCAAAAGGAACAAATAAATTAGGGCAAAAGAACAAGGTAGAATAATATACTTAAGATGATATATTGTATGTATGTAAAAGAAGTCTTACACCTAAATTACAATTGTAAAAATGAAATGGGCATGATTTACTGAACTTAATCAATTACCTGGAGTTGTTGCATCTTAATTGGCTAAAACGTTCTCTCCTAGGGCCAGAGATGACACGCCGAAAACCATTGATGGGATACGCTTTTTCCCTCTAAACGAATCTTTGCAAATCATCAGTGCAGACAAAAAAGACAGTGGGAGATACGAGTGTGTTGCCTCTAACAGCGAGGGCATGTCTGCTATCACTGCTGTGCTGGATGTTAAAGGTATTTCAGTGACAGGAGAAAAAGTCACTGCATACAATTATTCAATATACAGATATTCACCCAAATGAAGGAGTTACATTTGCAAACCACATTATAAATACAATTTAAGCTTGATTATTTTTACCCAACGCTGCTGTGATGAATAAAGTGATAACAACTAGGTGGTCTGTAAGGTCTGTTGAAACATGCTTGTGCTAGAAAGCCAATAAATATCTTAGCATCCAGACCAAAAAATCATCTTTTATTGATTGGCAGTATAAGAAGATGCTGCATAAATAATAATGTGGTGGAACATATTTTGAAATCTATTTTTCATGAATGAAAATCACCATGAAATGTATTGAGCAAAATCCGTACATTTCCATCCAGGAGGCAGTTACTGCGAGAGGGACACATTAATAAACTACATAAATTGGCTGAACTTCAAATACATGCATCTCATTTGCAGCATGCAGGCATTATAAATCATTATTCTCTCTGGCTGCACCATATCTTATCTTTTTTATGTGTTTTTCTTCTTGGGATTTGTTCTTATCTTTAGACCCTACACACATAGTATACCCACCTCAGGACGTGCAGGTCATCAGTGGCACCACAGCCCAGCTGATGTGCCAGGCAGAGTATGATAAAAGCCTGCAGAGCACCTTTGAGGTGGTATGGAGGAAGGATGGTGAAGAGATCCCACTTTTGTCTGAAGAACATTCCAGGTAGGCTCCTGAGGTTTGATAGTGTTTCCATTCGTTTTCAGGTGTTTTTTTTTCTCCTAAGAGTCTTTATCTCTTTGCTTATCCTCAGGAGAAAAAATGCATAAAAAGTCCCGAAAGCTTTGTGTTTATCCTACTCAGTAGATGGTCAAAGACAGGGGATTTTGCTATTTTTTGTCTACTTAATAAATAGCCTGATTACCTCTGCCAAGTCTTTGCTGGCCTGCTTAGTACGTAGGTTGTTATCTAAGAAAAAACAACACATTTTTTGTAAGATTTACTAGAAAGTTGGAAAAGCTCTAGCAGAATCTATTGCATTTCAAACAACCTAGAACATATAATCTATAATTATCTAGCACTATGTTCATTTTGATGTAGATTAAGAAAAAGCTTTTCCTATTTTACTTCATTATTAACAATGCAGAGGATTGTGTAGCTTTGCCGGAGGTGCAAGATGCTTTCTGACTGCTTGATTGATTGAACTTGAATTCTATCTATGTACTAACAAATGGGATTTTATGTTCAGATACTTTGCGGACTATGGCATGCTGCAGATCATGAGTGTGAACCTGAGTGATCAGGGAGCGTACACGTGCGTTGCCAGAACCAGCCTCGATGAGGACAATGCCACTGCACTGCTCACCGTGCTGGGTAAGGTGGTTGTGTAAATAATATAGTATGGAATATCATTCATTATTGACTAGACATTCCTTGAAAGGGCTCAGAATATAGACAGTGTTATAAATATTTGAAAACAGTGGGTTGCATTGTGGTTTTGATGTCATTGTAATGTTTCAGCTCTCCTCAGATTATAAATTGACTTTTGATCCTGTTCTATTTGTTTTGTTTTGCAGATGTTCCCGATGCTCCCAAAATTGTAGAGATTTCAGAACTTCCGAGTCCGAGGAATATTAGCCTGTATTGGATACCCGGGAGTGATCACAACAGCTCTGTGATAGGTGAATAGTTATATTAGTGTAGAAGAAGTAGAACAGCTGATGTCTGAAAATAGGTGTTAGTGGTGCTAAATAATGCAACAGAAAAACAACATGTTCTCAGGGGTCATCAACAGCTGTGACCTGCTGTGACTATTAGTTGTTACAATTAAGTGTACAGCCCACATAACGATGTAATTACTTTTTTTTAATGATGGTATTTCAGAATAATTAGAGTGAGGAAAAAAGTTGTGTAGGTTAAGTGAATGGAATAGAATGTTTTTCTGCAGTTACTGTAGAAAACAACATAATAGGATATTAGCAGATACATGATTTCCATGCACACACCCAATTATATTTTACTTAAGTAGCAATAATATAATGTAAAAATAAATGTCTGTTAGAAGTACTCAAATTCTGCATTAAAATTATAATTAAAGTAAAAGTACAATAGTGTTTAAAATATATCTCAATTAGTTCATTTAAAAGTACTCACAACTGGAATTCAGAATCATAAATATAATAAGATGCATTCATGTGTTCACTACCTAAATATAGTAGCTGGTAAGGAGGACATTTTAACTACTCTACATAAAGCTGATTAGCTTATTCCATTATATTTCATCAGAATTTCTGAGAGTATACTTTGTATTATGATTCTGAATCTGAAAAGTAGTAACTAAAGCTTTAAAATAAATTCAGTGTAGTCACAAGTACAAAAAAATATAAATGTATACAGTATAACAATGGAAATAATTAAGTTGGAAACAAGTAGCTTTTACAAGTACAATACTTTAATACTGTAATTGTAGTTTGTTACTTTCCATCCCTGCACACCTACTGGCACTTTCAGCTAATTTTGTTCAGTGAGTGCTGTCTGGATGAACAATCCCTAACACGTAAATAAGTTGAACTTTAACACCTAAAGTCTGCAGACTAGTGTTAAACCCTCCATTACAAATGTTCTTTGATACAAGTTCAAATCTAGATGCTGCGCATTGTCATGTTTTCTCTGAGAGTGAAAAGATTCGGCTGCATTGATCACTGTTGAGTGCTAACTAAAGTTATTTCACAAGCAAAGGCTGCAAGTGGCAGTGAAGTGTTCAGGAACCTGGCACAGTAGCTTGTGTCTCATTTATACTTCAAAAAGGGTCTCATTTATTTTTGGAAACTTGTGATGAAAAGATTTTATATCAACTGATAAGTGTGTCCTTGTAGTGTTTATGTGCTTTGATGTGTGCTATCTATGATCAGAAATCAGAATAGACATGCCTGAAGAAGATCCTTTGTTAGTGTAAAATGTGCTGTTTTGTGTTTAATTAAACATCTTGGAGCAGCACACATGAGTTATGAGGCCAGAAATTCTCTAAACGATATCCGTGGATCAGTTTGGCTAAACACCAAGTGAATGTGTGTGAAGAAATATTAAAATGATCTGATTAATTTGCCTTGGAAATTGCCAAAAGGCTTTGCATGAAATCACTCCCTTGTTTACTCATTTATTTTTCCCTACATGATGAACATTCAGTAACAAGTTGTTAACAGTGATGTTCGACACTTCATTTTTGACACACCTACGTGGCAGAATGATTGTGCACATTTGACATTAAGGAGCAATTGCATTAGTGGATTTTTCGAAAAAGAGTGGTTAAGTCTAGTAGTCAAAACAATTATTATAATTCTTGAGCTCGATAAAAAACATCTAATGGTTCATTAAAGATGAGCAAGGATTGGAGAGGACTACTGAAAAGGCACGAGGTTGCCTACTTATGCTAAGGTGGCTGTTGCTCTTAATGTTGCCACTGCAATGAATTGTGGGAAAATGTAGAGAATTTAACAGCTCTGTTCATGACACCACTTAGATACTGTATGTCTAATATCGTCATTTTACTTGGTTAAAAATGTTCTTAGAAAAATAAAATGTATGTAAACCTGAAACTATAACTTTCTTTTGGCCTTTTGGGGTCAATGAAACATTGACATTTCTTAACTTTTTAGGTTGAGTTTAAAAAATGTGTGTACCAACAACCCTTGTGCTAAACCTATAATCACCCCTGACAAGCTTTGTAATTAACGCACTGATATGAGCAAACTCTAAGAAAAGGTGTTTATGAGAACGTTCGATTGTTCCTTTATTTATTTTGAGAAAGTGTGGAACATGAACTGTAGACATAATGTATGTTGGACTTTAGAAAATAATCAAAGGAGTGTAAAGCATGCTTTCTCAGCTGTAGTGATGATCTGTTGTACAGTGACTGATCATGAGGATTTCTTCTGTCGTCTGTGAGCACAGAGTTTATAGTGGAGTACGAGGAGAGCCAATGGGAGCCCGGAAGGTGGCGGGAGCTACAGAAAGTCCCCGGTAACCAGGCAACAGCGGAGCTGGCACTACATGGTAACCTTAACTACCAGTTCAGAGTGTATGCTGTTAATGCTGTTGGACCTGGACCCCCCAGTGAGCCCACTGAGAGACACAAAACACCCCCTGCTGGTGAGACTCGCTCCCTTTAATTATCATGTTCTGCTTTGGGTCTCTGTTGATTGTGAAAGCATGCAAAGTTTTAACAATTTGTGAAAAGTGCAGAGAGTTGCTGCGTGGAGAGGCCAACCTTATTCCACAGGACTTTTTCTAGCAGTGGGGGGTATGGATATTTTTGGGTCTCGGGAGCCCTTAAATCGCCAATTATCAGCTCCAGCACACGATGCTGCTTAATCATGACTCTCATTTGAATATGCTTGTGTGTCAAATAAGGATACTTGTGCTACTGTACAACTACCAAATATTCAGTTTTAGCTGAACAACATTGAGGGATATTTGCATTTTGGCAGTAAAAGACAAGAGTCAAAATAGTTAGATTCGCTCAATCATGCTATTTTTCTATATATTCATTATATTATTTTACATTTCTGTTCAAAGCTCCTGAAAAAAACCCAGAAAGCATCAAAATTCAAGGCCATTCTCCTAATCAAATGGACATTAGCTGGGAGGTAAGATTATGGATCTGTAGACAAATACAAACAACTGATATTATTGTATTTTGATTTTTGATTATATTTCTAAGACATCAACACTCTATCCTCTTGTAGCCGCTGTTGCCAATTGAACACAATGGCCCAGGCCTCGAGTACAGGGTGCGCTACAGAAAACTGGGGGTGGGAGATGAATGGAAGTTGCATATGGTCAACAGACACTCCTTTGTTGTGAGGAACACGTCCACGTTTGTCCCCTACGAGATCGAAATTCAGAGCAGGAACAGCCATGGCTGGGGACCAGAACCTAAAATCGTCACTGGTTACTCTGGAGAAGATGGTGAGTGTGATGCAAACTTAAGACTTCCTCAAAAATGTGTACTGTCATTATCATATTTCAATCTATGTGTACATGCTACTCACTTTGCTTGTTCTTAAAACATACCCTAAGACTGAACTAGCACATGTACAGTAGCTGTTGTTTTGCTTTTTACTTACTTTGACCTCTTTGTTATCAAATCCCACCCCGTCTTCAGTCGTCTTTTGGCATTGTCTGCAGGAAAATGTGTCAGGTTAAGTTCTTTCTTTTTCTCATGCTTTTTAACCCCGTGCAGGTGTGCAGTAGTGACTTTTCCTCCCCCTCTGCTTAGAAAAAAAAACTTCTGTGCTAAATCCAGCAGGTGGCAGATAACCTTTGTAGAGCAGAGGGGTGTCAAATGTTCACTTCTGTCTCAGAAGCTGTGGGAGATTTGACAGATCAAAACAAACTTTTTGCTTTGGGCCTATTGAAACCCAATGGCTTTTTCCCTGTCTCTGCTGTGCTTCTCTCATTTCCTACTCCCAGTTCAGTGAATTGTAGAGCAGAAATATAGAGTGTTTTAATTTCATGTTTGGTGTTGTTTTTGTCTCTACTGAAGAAAAGAAAACGACAAATCTGCCTCAATTGGTGTCCTGCTGAGTTTGTATTAGTGCAAATACACCGTTTTATTTACTACCAAAACCAGCAAAAAAGCTAATTTCAGCACAGCCTGAACAAGAATAATGACCTGTTATGGCTTCAACATAACAGCTCAGACCACCATCGATGAGAGCGTTTTTGTCCAACATGATTATTTTGTTGTATAACCCTCTGTATCTGCAAGTATTTATTCAGTTTATTTTCTTTCTTTACAGCTGTAAATGGTATTGTTAAAGAGTTGCTTCAAAGGTATCCTGCTGTTAGCAGTCCGTCTGTTTTCCTGACCTTCCTCTTTCTGTTCTCCAGTCCCGACCGCAGCACCACGGGACATAGCGGTGGAGGTGATCAACACAACTGTTTTGAGAGTTAGCTGGACCCCCGCCCCCGCCGCCACAGTGAGAGGTCATCTCGGGGGCTACCATGTACGTTGTTCTTATGGTCCTGAAACCTGATTTCTTTCAGAACGAAGTTGTGTAACTGCAGAATTTCCATAGCAGCAGAGAAACTCTGAATATCAAAGCCTCTTATTAAATATAGTAATCACACTTTGGTTGATGAGATAAGCCTTGTAAAATGATGAAATCTTGTTTCCATATTCATTTTGCAGCGCTGCTTTTAAAAATATAAATAAACAATTAATATCTGCTTGAGTGCAGTGCACACAAACACATCACAAAAAAAAGGAGGTAGCAGGAGAGGTGCCAATTCACCTCCTAGGCCACCTCAAAACTGCTCCCTTTGTGCCGGCCGGGTACCTGGCATCCTCTCTGCTCTGCCACCTCTCCTATCTGCATGGGGTTGCGTGTGTGCATTGTGTAATGTGTGTAAACACAACAGAGTGGAGAAATACATTTCCCTGTGAGGGATTAATAAAGTATGTGTTCTTCTTCTTCTAGAAAGGAGATGAAGTTGTTATAACTTTCCTGATAATCATTGTTGGCACACCAGTCATAATTTCGTTTTAATAAAACTCAGGTCATACATGTTTGAGAGGGGGAAGAGAGATCTGAGCGCATCTGGTCCCTCCAGAGACGCAATATGGAGACTTTTTGAAATAGGTGACCTGACGTACTTAAAGCTGTCCGCTTGTGATCGCATGTTAATGCCAGGTCTGAACAGAACCATGCTGTAGGCACAAAGGGGTTATTAAAGTCAAATCAAGTGAAATACATTACCCTGATTGATTTCCTGGTGCAGTTAGATATTTCTTCTAGGTCTCGTTATAAAATATATTCCTAGGGTTGAACCCCTTTCACTTGCCTCTTGAGTGTGTCAAAACCAGATATAAAAGATAAAAGAGACGCCCCTAACTTTCACAGTTTTTTTTATATACGTGCTATTTGAATAATGGACGATTGAAAGACAAAACAATTCACAATGTGATTTCACAATAGGGATTGCTTTTCGTTTGTGGGTGTTACATCCCGAAAATCTTAGACACAGCCCTGAACTAAATATTGTAGAGTGGGCTTTAGATAGTAGGGTAACTAAGTAATGCTGATTATATAGTAACACATTAATTGGCGTGTAAAGCATAAAACTCAGTTTCCTACAAATAAAAGTATATGTCATTTAAATTCAACAAATATCATCATGGCAATGACCACACAAATAAATCATTATTTCTAAACCTGTAATATTTTGTAAGGTTCCCAAACCTGCCTTGTTTTCACCTTTTTTGTGTGGAATGAGTTTGTGTTAACTAATGTAATCCCTCTGATTAACTCAATAAGAGATTTTTGCGTGTTATGACAGAGGCTTATATTATTGATGTGTAATTTGATTAAATACTTTTTATATCTATGTCAAATCACCTTTTACTTCACTGTCACCTGTGAAGGCATTAACAGTGTCTTATACAGGGACAATGACAACCTGACTATAGGAAACAGTTATTCAGACGCACACCATCACACGAACAAAGCAACACCTCCCATTAATAGTTAATATTTGATGTCTAATATCAGATTTCTGCCGAATTAAAAGGGAAACCAGGCATTAATTGCTGCTCCTCAACTTTGTCTTTGTCACCGTTCTGCCATTATCGCTGTCCTTCTCTTCCCTCCCTCATCTCTTTGCTCTCGGTTAAGACGTGTTCCTCATCACAATCTTCCATTGCTTCCCCCTTTACAGGTTCACTGGGTGAGGAAACGAAGTTTGCTGAATCCGAACAACATTTTGGATGAGCGCCAGTCCCTGTCTTTTCCCGGGAAGAGGACTCATGCCATCGTGCCGGGTCTCGAGCCTTTCTCCGAGTACAGACTCACTGTCAATGTTTTCAACAAGAAGGGCAATGGGCCCAACAGTGACCCGGTCACATTCAACACTCCAGAGGGAGGTGAGGTGACACAAACACACAACATACAGGTGCTCCTCACACACTTATAAATAACTCTGCTAAGTACATTATAGGAATATCAGTCAAGCTTGCAGAAAATCCCGTAAGGAAATGGTGATAGTTTATTGTGATTCAACCAACACAACAATAACTTTTAACAAAAGCACAGATTTAATTTATAGTTAAGTCCTCCTCCACAATTGTTCGTATTTTGTCACTTAACCTTGATGCTTGAGCTTGATGTTATAGCATAAGAAATGTGCCATGTGTCATGCTAGAATGAGTTCATAATAGTATGCTGCTAAAAAAAGGACATGTCTTTGTGCTCAGTGTAAATCAGAGTTGAATGTCTACTTTAAAGCAGGATTTGTATCTGCACAACTGTCAATAGTTTGCAACTTACACAGGTGTAACACAGACACTTGAAAACCATTGTTCACATACACTGATAATTTATAATGAAGTCTATGCATATTCATAGATTCTTGATTTTTCAGAGGGTCAAAGACCATATCTTGTTAAAAAATAACAAGGACATTTTACTACTTTTTACTGGCACACTAACACTGACACTAATTACAAATAAAGTTGTTTAAGGTATCAAAGCAAGTCTGAAATAAAGTGGTGACAATAATGTTTAACCTGGAGACCAGGAGGAAAAAAGTAATGTGTGAAAATACTTGTGAAAGGCTGCTCCATGTTGCAGCCTTGTGAAAAGACAAAGCTGCTAAAAACAGGCAAACTGTCATATATGCGTCTTCAGTGTGTTAGTCATCTGTTTAACAAACAAGAAAAGGCAAAAGGAAGCTTAAATAACAGAAGAAATATCAGCCATAAAAAGACACTTAAAACAACAGAGAAACATCACTGACCTTTTGATGTAATTTGATCTACTGAAACATGTCTTTACAGTTGTACATTAACATTACTGTCACTCCCATAGCTCCTGCACAAGTGCCAATCCTGACTGCCTCCAACGCCCAGATAGACTCCATACTGCTGGTGTGGGGCCCGCCGCGGGAAGCCAACGGCATCCTTACTGGTTATCTCCTGCAGCACCACCTCAGTATGTACACGCACGCACGCGCACGCACGCGCACACACACACACACACACACACACACACGCACGTGACTACTGTAATTACTCATTGACTTACTCAGTGTCGACCTTTTGCCCTATGTAATGTTTCCCATTAATAGATTTCTCTTTGCTGTAGCTGAAGCTTTATCTGTAGTGCAAGGCGCTGTGTGCGAAGTGTAAGAAAAACTGTAGCTGCACTGCTGGTGCTCTGCGACACCACAGTTTATCTTTGAGTCTACAGGTTGAATATCCATGTTATAACACTGGAAAAATAATACACACAATGAATGACCCTTCTTCCATCTCCTCTCCTCTTTAATGTTATCATACCAGCCACTAGGTAGGACTGTTTAATACTAAAAGCTGCAAAGTGGTCGTAATTGTGCAGCCTGCTTCAGTACAGATTGTGGTTTGACATTTTTCAAAGTGTTTCTTATCTCGTATCCTCCAGGATTGCAGGTTTCCTTTTTTAAAAACAACTACTTTTTAAGTGCCTCTTATTCAAAATTATTTGGCATTTATTACTCAGTACATTTCCGTCTTCAGAATTAAAACCCACACCTTGAGAACAAATGAATGAAGGGCTTTCATTACTCTCCCTCTGTTTTCAGAGCCTACACAGCCTCGCTGGCTGACATTTCTGAAATCTTTTGTGTAAAATGTGAAGGCAGAGACAGCCCTTTGCCGCCTCCACCAGCACCCACTGAGTCTGGCCAGCTCTTCAATACACTCTGTCCCCCTCTCCTTTCTGCTTTTTCCCATATCAGATGTCAGGCTTTACACAGATATTCCCACACAATGCAGTCCGTGGGTGTTTCTAAGTTTTTTGGGTTGAATTGATTCACTCTGCATGCATATCTTAAATTTAGTTTTCTGCTAATTATATGATTAAATGTTATATGTCATCCTACAGTATATACACATCCAGTTGAGTCATGAATCCGCTGTGTAATTAACCTTTGAATATTTCTTACAACATTCATTAAAAAATGAAATTTCCAGTTTTTCCGTGCTGCAAACAAACATCAATCTTCCCAAGCGGCACCTTAGACTTGGCATATATTCAGTTACCTGCATATCAACATTGGCACAGTAATGAATTCAACGTGGGGGGGTTTCTGGAGAAGTTAGTTGCTTTCTACAGTCTGCACACATACTATACTTTGATCTATAATGCAAGTTTGGTGATACTTTATGCTGCTTGTGATTGCTGCTCCTCTGATTTTCTTCCTACTGCTTTATGTTTAATTATTTTCCTTCGTCTCTTTTCTTTTTTTTTTTTTCACCTATCTGTTCTTTTATCTGCAATTTTTCCCCTTCCTTTTACACACGTTTTTAATGTGTTTTCTTTTTAATATCTCCTCAACATCCTCCACCTGTGTTTCTGTCTCCCTCTCTCCTCCTCTGCTGCTTTTCATCTATTGACACTTGTTTATACGCTCCCACCCATCTCCTCTTGAGCTCTCTATCTCCTCCTTTCATCTCCTCTCCGCTTTCTTCATAATGTATTCCTCCTCAGCTCACCTGTCATGACACGTATCTGCTATATCACTTACTGCATGAGCTAGCATGACATCTCATCCATTGACTCTCATTATAGTTGTGTTCCATTAACATACAACACGTGCCGACCATGATGACTTTTTTCTACGTGTTTCCGGCGGAGGCTCACTCATGCCTGTTGAACTGACCTGACATCCTTCTCCCTCCTCTATAGTTAATGAGACCACACTGGAGGTAGTGGACTCCCAGGAGACCAAAATCACTGGGGCTGACACCACCCAGTGGAAGCTCCATGGCTTGGAGGGGGGGAGCCTCTACCGCTTCCTCCTCAGCGCCTGCACTGCAGCCGGCTGCGGCCCCCCGCTGACCCAGGAGAGCAGCACTGTAGCCCTAGAACGTGAGTGCAGGAGATCAGTGTACCTGTTGTGGCACTGGGGTTAATGAGATATCATTTGCATTTGCATTGCTTAGTGGCAGTGGTTCCCAACCTGGGGGGCGCGCAAAAGACCGCAGGGGGAGCGCCAAGCCTGAGATGATTTGAGGCCAAATATATAATATTTAGACTTTTTTTTTTTTACATATAATTGTAAGGCAATACATGATTGTCACTAAAAGCCTTGTCTCTACATTACAATAAAATATAAAAAATAATTGATTAATTAATTTTAATAAAAATTCTAGTTAGTATTAAAGGCATAAAAAGACAGAAATGTATAATTCTTTCTTTAATATAAATGTTTCTTCTGCCTGTAAAGTGTCCAAACCAGGCTTGTCTGGATAAGCGCATTTTTAAAACATAGTCATTGTCCATGCCGGTTTCAGTTTCGGTCTCCTCCATTTTGTAGATTATTTAAGACTTTTGAATCCACATAAACACATTGGCAAAATCCGGCTTACTTTGAGCATGTGTTTTAAACAGTTTAATCCCTTTGTGAATTGTTTCCACTTCCATTGTTTTCCGTCCTTTAATTTCTTCATACAGCAGGAATCCAAATGAATGAATCCTGAGTCCAATAACCATAAAAGTCACTCCAATAGTGCTCCGTAATTACGCTTTCATCCTCCTTTGACAAAATACTTCACATTCATCCAGTTTGTGACGGTATTTGTAGCATTTTTGAGACTTTTAAACTTTAATTACCGCTGTTACTTGTAAATTACCGAAACTGTGACGCTACAAACTTATACCGTGCCGTTGCAATGTTCTTTGCATCTCTTACATATTCTTGTTTCACTGTCAATGATGACATGATGAAAACTATTTCAATTTCGCCCTTCACACAAATACATTTTGTATTACTTTACAATGAGGAGAGACAATGAGGATAGAAGCTGAGCAAACACAAGCACAGAAGGATCAGTAATGTAACAATGGAGGCACAGCATAGCACCAGGATTAGTTATTATTAGATAATTTTCTAATAGAGATGGGAACTAATTGAATTGAAATAAGCAAATCGTGTTTCAAGAGTTTGCGTATAAAAAGTTACGGCTCCAATTTTCATATGATAGTGATTGTAAAAATAAATAAAAAAATAAAAAACTGCAGCAGAGGACTCACGTGAATTTAGATTTGAGTCGATGGTCCTGGGACATTTCGAGCTTTAGTAAAAAAAAGCTACAGGACTTATTTTTGTAGACATATTTTTGAAGGACACTCGGAACTAGTATAGCCCACAAACAGGAGTGGTGTGTTTTGCTTTTATAGTTTTGATTTGGAGTCAAGCAGCAGCATTATGAATAATGTTATCCTCCAACTACCCTTTAAAAAAGAGCAGTGAGAAGTTACTTGAGATGAGAGCATGCATTAGATTTGTGGCATTTTGCTAGCTTGTGAGTGTCTGTATCCTGGCGGTATTTCACACATTGTCTGAGATGTTGGATTACAGATTAACTTGATTGGGTGAAAAAATGCTATTTTGGCACTGCTGCTGATTTGCGATTCAAAGCTTAGTTTGGACTCAAAGACACTTCTGAATCAATCTGGGGAGCTAGAGATCCAAAATCCTCTTTGATGATGCAATCTCTGAGTGTAGAGGCATTTCTGTTTCTTTTTTTTTGGACTTCAGATAGTATTTATTTAGTTTTTCAGAAATAAAGAATGCAAAGCATTTTGTTTATTTAGCCCAACTGAAATGTATAACCATGTGTCATCTGCAAAGCTATGAAAATTGACATAACACTCTTTGAAGGCATCACCTAAATGAGGCATGAAAATGTCTTAAATCTGACTGGTCATTATTTCCTGTTGGTGGCTGAACATGATATCTGTAGCACTTGCATATAGTTGATAAATGATGGCGATGGATTTTATATTACACAATCTCTTAATGACCTTCAGTTTTCATCAGGTGGTTGTTCAGGATGTCATATATTTCAACTGAGGGAATTAACGAGCTGATAAGTTCATAGAACAAAAATCCCTGTAGGATCCTATCCTGTTGCACAACAAATTGACTTTACACTGTCATCTACACTGAAGCCAATCATTTTGACATTTTATAGCATTATAGCGTTCAAAAAATGCTAATGACAGTTCTTTAGTTAAAATGTGTGCCTTCTGGTATGTTTTGCTATCATCATATGGTTTCTTTCACTAGAGTGTGCCAAAGCCAGCTGGTGGCTTTATTGTGTTTTAGTTTTTTATTAACCTTTAATTTAACAAATAATTCAGGCAATCTGACTAGTATGGGAATCATTACCTGCCACCATTTAGTTTAACTGTTAATTTCAGCCCTCGTAGTACACATTTCTAAGTTGTTTTAATAAAAGGTATTCATTCCTCTCTGGCTTTTAAATTTCCTCAGAGACGCTCTGCATCTTGTAGATGTATGTCCAACCTGAGAGCCGTTAGATGCACTGTTTGTAAATGTGGTTTGGTACGGGGCTCGGTGGGGAGATAAACAGTTCGGTTCTGAGCGCTGTGCTCGGGGCATGTTAGTCACAATGCACCAGAGCAGATTTATGGATGTCAATAGCACAGAGCAGGGGCACCATCATTCTAGAGTTGATGATAGGGGGTGATGGAGTGACGGCGAAAAAATAAATGTATGTGAGTTATTGAGCCGCGGTTATGAATGGCTCCTTTCAAACTTTACCTGGTGAGCTTTTAATGCTTATTATTAAGTCAGGATAAATCATAGCTTCAAAAATGGTCTGGACAAACAGACTGCCATACCAGAGCAAAAAACAGCCATAGAGTTTTCAGCAGTGACCACATGACTCTTTGAAAGGCTTGGAACAAAAAAAGAGAGTGGCTGAAGTGAGAGACAGAACAGCATCACAACAGAATGCTGGTGTGAAGCATCTGTGAGAAAGATGAGCAGGAAAAACGAAAAGAGAAGATCTAATGGCAGAAGAGTGTGGCAGAAAGAGGAACATATAAATATATGATTTAACAAAGCAACAGAGATAAAGCCGACTGCAAACGTGACTAAGATTAAATAGGAGCATACACCTCCATAATAAAGATGTGTTCATCTTCAATAGAGTCAGTAAAGGATTCAGCAATCAGAGCAGAACAATCTGTCAGTTTACCAATGTGTCATACGTTTTAATATTCAAAATGTTTACACTGGACAACGTGAGAATTAATACAGGCAACCACATGTGCGAATTAAATGATGTGTGTGTCGTCACAGGTAACAAAAAAGTAAACCAGTGATTTTTAATTAATTCCATGTTACAATGGAAAATGACAAACTCAGTCAGTACATTAAGCAACAAATACATATACAGATTATGTTGCTGTTCTGTTCTGTTGACAACGTATATACAATGACTGTCTGTCTATCTGTAGACTGTATGACTATGGAGATTTACAGTATACAGTAGCATGATTAAGGTATTTATTTAGCTGTCCTTCCTGAAACTAAAAACAACTAAACAAAACATACTGCATAATATCTGTTTAGCAACAGAAAGCCAACAGACACAGACACATAGCAGCTGCCCACAATTGGTAAAAAAAAAGCTGAATATTATTCTTGTTAAGCAGGTTTAAGAAATGTGTGTCGGTGGATATCAGTTGAACAGTCCTTTTAATTAAACTGGAAAAAAAAAAATGTGTTGAAATATGTCTTGTTTCCTGCTTGCAATTAGGAAGCACATTTATTGGGAGGACAAAGTGTATGATGTTTTTTTTCTCCACGGAGCCCTCTCGTGGTGCAGCTCTCCACCAGTCATCAAATCCAAAATCCACCTGTGTGCGGTTGTATTTATGAGGATGCACTGCCCACGTAATTGTGTGTGTGGGTGTACATGTGTGTGAGTAGGTGTGTGCGTGTGTGTCTTTATGCCTGGTCTATAAACCTTAAAGCTGGCTTTCCATATATCTGTAATCTTCTGCTGTATTTCATTTCTTTTTTTATCCCTCTGAAGATTTGTCCCCGACTCCAGCTGGGGCCCCTGTTCAGAGCAGTATGTATTACCGCCTGCAGCCCCTGCGCTGTTCACATAGAAGAAGTAGTTGTAGACATAGTCAAGGTTGTATGTGTGTTGTGTGTTGTGTGTTGTGTGATGTGTGTTGTGGGTTGTGTGTTGTGTGTTGTGGGTTGTGTGTTGTGTGTTGTGGGTTGTGTGTTGTGTGTTGTGTGTTGTGTGATGTGTGTTGTGGGTTATTGTAGCAAATAGCTGGCTGTAGCCTCAGTAAAGGTTTGTCCTTAATAGTTGTACGGATATCGTCAGTGTTGGAAGAAGTCACTCACATCCTTTACTTAAGTCAAAGTACAAATACTAATACTATAAATAATTAATACTTAAAATACTCCAGTACAAATAAAAGTCCTGATTTCGAATTGTTACGTGAGTAAAATTACAAAAGTATTAGCATGAAAATGTATTTAAACTACAGAAAGTACTCATTCTGGACAATGGCCCAATTCAGAGTAATAAAAAGTACAAAAATATTATCATCTAAACCTACTCCAAGTTTAAAAAATAAAAGTAATTGTCATGCAAATTGAACTTATGACAGTATTGAATTATTATGGTTATTATACCATCCTGTTTTTATACTTGTAAAAACATTTTAGCATTGTGGTTTTGTCGATGTGGACCAAATGTAGATACTTGAAGAGCTGTGTAGCTTAATAGTAGAATTTTGCATTTTACTACATCAGCATATCATTTGTTTATGTACAAAGTAACTGAGTGAAAATAAATGTTGTGGAATAAGAAGTACAATATTTCCCTCTAAAATGTAGTGGGGTAGAAGTATAAAGTAGCATTAAATGGAAATACTCAAGTAAAGTACAAATATGTCAAAAAGGTGAATGTAGTCGGTTACTTTCCACCACTGGATATATTTTTGGGTATTTCCTGACTAACAGCTCTGGAAATACAGAACATTTCTTTTTAAAAGTTTGACAGTTGCGCTTTGAATTCACATGTGCTATTTAGACCCAAACAGTTAAGGTGTGTTTACTATCATCCTCGGTGTTGTCGCACAGTTTCTTCCATTAATCTAGTTTCCCCGGTTGCTCTAACAATCCTGCCTTCATGTAGTCTATAGAGCTCGCTTGTTGCACAATGTAGAGCATTAGACCTGACAGCTTTGCAGCAGGAATCTAACATCTGAGGCTTCTCTTTCCTTTCAGGCCACAACTGCTCTCTCTCTTTTCCCAGCTGTATCCCAGGCAATTCTACTCATCTTCCTTTAGGTATATAGCTCACACTCATACATGTACAGCCAATGAAACCCCTGTGATCTTATCTTGATGTATCGTAAACTTTCAGCTAACAACAGGATTCGAGACATGGAGTCGTTTCAATCTATTCTGATATACGCTCATGTTAGGGTTGGCGTCAGAAAATGTCAGCTTTGCTTAAGAGAGAATGAAGACTAGATGTCACTCCCGCCCACGATCTCTCTATCTACCCTTTATGAGCCAAAATCCAGCTCCACTCAATTAAGTCTGGGGCCCAGCGTCTCCTTTTGAACTGTCGTCTCTTGAAGGGTTTCTGCTAGCTGAACTGTGCTCAAGCTGCAGGGGAACCTATTTGCCTCCGCTAATCCTCTTTTCCTGCCTATTTCTCCTTTTCTCTGTGCCTGCCTGTGTTTTATTTTCCTCCTCCTATTTCTTCTCTCTTTATCAGTTCCAGCCTTGTTGAACGTAAGCTCTTATGTGAGTGACACCTTTGCCAAAATCAGCTGGACTGCCATAGAAGAGCAGCAGGACTCGGAGCTTTATGTGGCTTATATGAATAACAGTAAGCTACTTTTCCTGCTAAGCATTGATGGGAATTTTAGGTAACACATGTACTGAGAAGGTTTTATATAAACATATATCATAAGCCTAGCGTCTGCATTGCTACAACCATTATTTCTATGATTACCCTTAAATATATTAACATGCTTTTAAAGTTATTTAAAAAAATGTATTTATATCTCAACAACGATTCTGTGGTTGGCAATAGCTCATCCTTTCTTCTTTTTAGATAGCGTGGATGCTAATACAGACTTGCTGCTTGTGTGTAGGTGATGGCTTCTGGCGGATTTCAGAGGCTGTAAACGCTTCTCAAAGTTTCCACGTTATTGATGGGCTCAAACCTGGGACGGTGTACACTGTGCGCCTCATGTCCAAGAGGCTGCTCGATAACGCTAGCATTTTTGAAGACGTTATCCAAACTCGATTACAAGGTGAGAGGAGAGAAAGGCGACGCAGTCTCTACAGTCTAGAGCAGGGGTGTCAAACTCAAGGCCCGGGGGCCAAATCCGGCCCGCGATTTCATTTTATGTGGCCCGCAAGAGCTTGCAAAGAATATAATACGTTTATTATACGGNCCCTATCCAATAATAATCCAATTCAGAGGCAATCATGTAATATAATATATTATTTTATATATATATTTATAGATGTATATTTATATAGTTACAACCGGCCCTTTGAGTGCAACCATAATGCTAATGTGGCCCGCGATGAAATTGAGTTTGACACCCCTGGTCTAGAGATTCCAGCTCCCACCTGCCACATAAATATAATTGACAAACAAATATCGACTGTGGNATATATTAACATGCTTTTAAAGTTATTTAAAAAAATGTATTTATATCTCAACAACGATTCTGTGGTTGGCAATAGCTCATCCTTTCTTCTTTTTAGATAGCGTGGATGCTAATACAGACTTGCTGCTTGTGTGTAGGTGATGGCTTCTGGCGGATTTCAGAGGCTGTAAACGCTTCTCAAAGTTTCCACGTTATTGATGGGCTCAAACCTGGGACGGTGTACACTGTGCGCCTCATGTCCAAGAGGCTGCTCGATAACGCTAGCATTTTTGAAGACGTTATCCAAACTCGATTACAAGGTGAGAGGAGAGAAAGGCGACGCAGTCTGTACAGTCTAGAGATTCCAGCTCCCACCTGCCACATAAATATAATTGACAAACAAATATCGACTGTGGTGAATATGTGAGTTTAGTTTTTTTCTTGCATCTCTGTGCATTTGTTATTTCCTATTTAATATTCCTTCAGAAGAGTGTTATAGCTGAAGGGATAGTGAGAGCATCTTCTCAAACTAGAATTCATCATGTTTTTTTAAGTCTAGGATAGACTTGGATGCTGTGTGCATAAGGGGTCATTCTGAAATAAATCAATGTGTAAAGCACATTTTTGAGCTCTGTGTCTCTTTTCTGTTTGCAAACACAGGTGCTGTAGGTCAGAAGAGCAGTTTTTCCACCCAGGGCTGGTTCATCGGGACCATGTGTGCTGTGGCGCTCCTCACCCTCGTGGTACTCATGGCCTGCTTTGTGCGACGGAACAGAGGTGGCAAGTATGCAGGTACGCCGCCTCCGACCCAGAGACAAGAAATGTTCTCCATGGAAAAAGGTCAGTTAGTTTTGAACTAGGGTTGGGGGCCCTTGTCGTCTCACTTCAGACAGGAGCTGAACCAAAATTGAACTCATGGTATGTCAAATGTATCGGTCTGACTTGGTAATAAGCAATTTAAGGTCTCTCAGAAATCCTTAAACATCACCATTTCTACAAGATGACGCTTTAATTTGAATTTTTTGATTTTGGTTGACCTCCTGAATGAATTAAAATGTGCGACAGGCCTCAACCCTGACCTAACCCCCTCGACCTAGTTTGGAAATGCTTCCTGCACGTTGGCAAACTATGCATGCTAACCCTGCCAAACCCAGTTTGGTTAACTCCAAATGAACTATCCGTGGGATGCTTGCATCTACAGTTTGTCTACTTCTTTGTGAAGTAATTTGTGTGGCCGTGTTAGTTCTGCTCTGTACCTCTGATTACATACCTTGTCACGCCAGACGAGTGGGAACCAGCTGGCTTTGTTCCTCGCCTCACCTGTGCAGACCTTCCTCCTTCCCCTGCACCTTTGTGTTGTATCAGAGCCAAGCTTAATCTCACCTCGGTACCTACCTGCCAAGAGTCTCCTCACTCCCTTTCTCTCCTCAACCTGCTCCCCCTTCTTCTCCCTAGAACTCTTACCTCTTTGCCTGCAGTAGCTTTTTTGACACGATGCACTGAATATTTCATCTGCTGCTTTGGATTTCCCCTTTGCCCATCTAGTTCTTTTCATGAAACCCCTCCTTTGTCTCTCTTGAAAGCAACTGGTATTTTTAAAGCATATTTGCACAAAGAGCTGCTGCATGTGTAGCACTTTGGGCGGACAAACAGAAGAGAGGCTTTCAGTGTGCTTGATAGAATGTTTACTCAGTCATGTTAAGTTGTTCTCAAAAGCTTTTCATTCCTGACTTTTAAAATGCAACTCCTTTATACACTCAAGTAATGGAAATGTTCAGTTCATTTAATCCTTTACACCTACCAAACATTAATGTTGAGCTTGCTCTAGCTGTATTCTAAAAATCTTCTGAGAGAAAAGTCACTGACGTTGGTAAAAATGAACAAAAGGGTGTTGCTAACATTTGAGTTATTAATCTTTGGAAAATGTTAACGCTCCAATCCTTTATTTAATCAGTACTCATGACCCAGTCTTACAAGTCATATGTAACTCCAACCACGAATGAAAGTGCTGCTCTTTGACATGCTATTGAAATGTGTGTCCTGCCTCGTCCCTGCAGTGAAAGAGAAGGAGGACCTCCACCCGGACCCGGAGTCGAAAGGATTGAATGAGGACAGCTTTGGTGACTACAGGTGAGCTAAACTCCTGCTCTGTCAAGAAGAGCTGCAGTGCCAATGTTTGCTTCAGAAAAGGACATGTTTAAATGTGCTGAGCTGGAGCAGTATTCATCCAGCAACCACATATGTTAAATATTTTCTGGCTGAGAAACTAATGTGTCATGTCACGGTTATGTTTCTTCTCTCCCTTCCACAAAAGCAAAGCACGCGTTCATGAGCTTTACGAGGATAAGCCTAGGAGCCATTGTTCTCGTCACTTAATGGGCTAGGTAATCCCATGGTGTAGTTAACAAGTGTTTGCAGCGTTGTTAGCTAACCTGAGCTTGCACCCCTTTTGTAGGAATGATGTGCTCTTGGTCCCATAGGCATCAGTAGTTTATTTTGTGTGTTGCAGTGTGTAATAATGAATGAGTGACTATTTAACACAGAATGTCTTATGTTTAGAATACATAATTGTTTGGTTCTGTAATATAATACTACCCCCACTTTAAAGGTCCCATATTATACTCTTTTTGAACAATATATTATCGGTCTCAGATATATACAAAACATGTCTCTGAAGTTTTTGGTTTGAAATACCAAACAGATCACGCATTGTAGCATTCCGTTAACCCGTTTCCGCCCTGTTCCAAAAGTGCTAATTCTGTGTCTGTAGCTTTAAATGCAAAATGGAATGCTGCTGGCCACGCCCCTCTGAGAAGTGATTGGTTTAATACAGGGGTGTCAAAGTCAAATGCATCAGAGGGCCAAAAAAACAAATTTGCTACAAGCCGAGGGCCGGACTGGTTCAATTTTTATTAAAACACAAGAAAAATATTTTTTTTTTTTTTTTATTTTATAAACACAAGGGGAAAACACAATTTTTTTTCCCTAAAGACCCTTTTTCAAAAAGTCCCTTCCTTTTTTTTTTTTTTTTTTCTAAAGGAGAGGGAAAAAAGTACCAGGAACTATTTACCCCCTTCGGAACCCTAAGTTTTTCTTTAAAACCGGGAAAAAAAACCAACTAACCCAGGTGTTTTTTTGAAAACAAAATCATAAATTTTTTTTTTTTTTTGGTTTGGTTTTCCCATTTTTTTTTTGGGGGCGGGTTGGAATAGGTGGAAAAACTTTTTTAAAAGGAAAAAGGAATTCCCTCGTGGTAAAAAACACAAGAATAAAAATTTTTGGTTTTTTCCCCCCCCCCACAAGTTTTTTTTTCAAGGTTTTTTCCCCCGGGGCGCCCCCGGTTTTTTTTCTAGGCCCCCGGGCCGCTTTAACTTTTAATTAGAAACCGCGGGGGCCCCCTAACTAATTTAAACCTAAAATCATAAAAATGTTCCCTTTTTTTGCCCGGGCCCGGTCCCGGTTGTTCCGGCGGACGAAAAACAACCAAAACGTGCGTTTTGGTTTTTTTTTCTTGATTGTTTAAAAGGGGGTTGTTCAAAACCCCGTTGCCGAATCGGGCGCTTTTTTTGAGTGACCCGTCGAAGGGCCCCCGTTCCACCCCGGAGCCCGAAGCAAATTTCAAAAAGTAGTTCGTAAGTCCCCGTCTAAAAACAAAAGTTGAAAAGTCCGTTTTGGGGCGAAAAGGGTTATTTACCCCCGATTTTGCCTTTTCCAACGCTGCCCAAAAAAAACCCTCTTTTTTTTTTTGTCCCCCAAAAAAATTTTTTTTTTTTTTTTTTTTTTCCAGGTACCAAACCCCTCCGTTTCTCAAAAAATTTTTGTTACAAAAAAGTGCCCTCCATTTTTTTTTTTCCGTTTTATTTTCGACCACAAACAAGAAAGAAACCAACACCTTTCTTTTTCAACAAAACCGGCCATTTACCCCTTTTCCCCTTTATATTTTTAGATTCCCTTCCCCCGTTGGGTAAAAAACCCTTTTTTGGCAGAATTTTTCTTTTTTTTTGTGTTTTTTTCCTGTTTTTTTTTTTTCCCCCTTTTGTTTCCCTTTATAACCCTGGTAAAAACCTTGTTTTTTTTTTTCCGAAAAATGTCCCTTTCCAACCTTCTTTTAAAAAATTTTTTTTTTTTTTTTGCTTTCCAAAAGAAATTTTTCAAAAGGGCCCCCCGTTCCGCCCGAAGACAAAGGTGTTTTTTTTTTCGGTTTTTTAGTGTTTTTTTTTTTTTTTCCGCCTTCCGAACGACCAAAAAAAGGGTTTTCCCGATCCCAAAAATAAACAAACCCGTTCTTCCCCTTTTTTTCAAACGTTTTTTTTTTTAGTCCCCCGGGCCCCGGGAAAAAATGGTTTTTCTTCCCTCCCCCTCCCAAATTTAGGTTTTTTTTTTTTTTTTTTTTTTTTTTTTGACCCAAAATACCCCCCGAAAATTTTTCAAAAACCACCCCCTGGGGTTGCCCCAAACCAAACCGGGGGTCTGGGGGGTTTTTTTTTTTTTTTTTTTTCCGTTTTTTTTTTCGGAATAAAAAAAAAAAGGGTTTTTTTTTTTTTTTGCAAAAACTTCCCCCCCGGACCCTTTTTTCCGTTCCCTTTTTTTGGGGGGGTGGGCAACCCGACCCCCCCTTGCAACATCCCCCTTTGGGTCCGGAAAAAAAGGTTGGTTTAGATTTTTTTTCTTTTTTTTTTTTTTTTTTTTTTCTTGTTTTTCCGAAAAACCCAAACCCCCCCACCCCCCTTTTTTTTTTTTTTCCCCCTTTTTTTTTTTTTTTTCTAAAAAAGGTAGCCCCCCCCCGGTTAAATTAAAGTTGGAAACGAAACGCCTAAAAAAACTTTTTCTTTCCCCGTTGGGCCCCCCCCTGTGGTTTTTTTTTTTTTTCAAAAAAACCCCCCCTGTAAAAAAACCCCCGGGGTTTTTTTCGACCAAAAGGTTTAAAAAAAAAAGTAAAAGGCAAAACCCCCCCCTTCCAAAAAACCTTGGGAGGGTTTTCCCCCACCCCCCCGGAACCCCCCGTTATTTTTGTTTCCTTCCCCTTCCCAAAAAAAACCCCGTAATGCCCAAGGGATAAAAAAAAACCCCGGTTACCCCCCTGGGGTTTTTTTGAAAAAAAAATGGTTCCCCCCTTTGGTTTTTTCTAGGACCAATAAAACCTTTTTCCTTTTCCCAAATAAAGGGTTTCTAAAAACCAACATTTAAAAAAAAAAAAAAACTTTCCCTAACCCCCCCGGAACCCCGGGGAAAACCCCCCCTTTTTTTTTGGAAGCCAAAAACCCCCCTTAAACCTGTTTTTTTTTGTTCCCCCCACTGCCCCTTTTCCCCCCCGTTTTTTGGGGCCGGCTAACCCCACCCAACCCTGTAAAAAAAAAAATCCCCCAAAAAAAATACCCTCACCTAAAACCACCCGTTTTTTTTCCCTTTTTTAAAAAGTGCCCAAAACCTCCTCCTAAACCGCCCCCCTGTTTTTTTTTTTTTTGCCCCCCCAAAAGGTGTCCCAAAAACCCCCTTTCCCCCCCGACCCTTGGTTTTCCGAAATAAAAAGGTTGAACCCCGCAATTTTAAAATGTTGGGTCCCCTTCAAGCAAAAATAAAACACCGGTTTTTTCGGGAAACCCCTGTTTTTTTTACCCCCTTAAAGGGGTAACATTAACCCTTTCCCCCCCCGTAGTAAAATTTTTGCCGCAAAAACCGGGTTTCCCCAATTTTGGAAGTAAATCCCCCCCCCGGGGTTTTTTTCCCACCCCCAAAATTTTTTAGGGGGGTGGGCCGGGTCAAAAAGGTTTTTTTTCCCCCCGGTAAAAAGACCCCCCCCGCCCCTTTCAAATCTATGTTTCCCTTCCAAAATTACCCAACCCCCCCCTGAAAACCCCGGGGGGAAAATAGTGGGTGCCGAAAAACAAAAAAAAAAAAAACCGGGCTTAAAAACCCCGATTCCCGGGTTTTCCTTTTCAACGAAAAACGGTTTTTTTCCCTAAACAAAGGGCCCTCCCCCGAACCGGTAAACTTTTTCCTCCTAGGACCAAAGAACAAAGGTACCCCCCCCCCCTTTTCCCCGGTTTTTTCCCCTTTTTTTTTTCTGGTGTTTGTTCTTTTCGGAGGCTTTCCTAAAAACCTTTTTTTTTTTTTGTTTAAAAAATAAAACCCAAACAACTTTTTTTTTTTACCCCCGCAAAAGACCAAACGGCCTTGGTTAAGGGGGGTGGTTTTTTTTTTTCCCGGGGTTAAAGACTTTAAAACGCCCCTAAACCTTTTTTTTTTTTGGAAAAAAAAACGTTTTTTTCGAACGTCCCCTGCCCCCCCGGCCACCCAGGTTAAGGGAAAGAAAAACCTTTATACAAATGTCAAAAAATTTGGTCACCCCCCCCCCCCCCTTTCCCAAAATTTTTTTTTTTTTTTTGGTTCCCACCCGACTAGGACACCCTTGTGTCTACGCCTTTTCTTTTGAAACTCGGGGTGAAGGGTCGACGGTCTGTTACTTTCTCTCGAGAGATGGCGACCACAAGGGCTCACCGTGTCAAACGAACTATTTGAGTTGTATGAACGGGGTGAAGGCTGCGGCTAAACGACGAAACTTCGGAGTTTTTTCGGTCCAAACTTGACGAGCGTTAAGGAAAAACCCAACCTGCACCTTTCGCGTGGTTGTTTGGACGTTTACCTCACTAACTCGAGTCACGTTACTTGTGAACTCCCTTTCTTTACTCTCTCACCCACGACGCTCAAACGTGCAAAGTAGGGGCTGTGTTAACGGAGTCGACGCGTAGGTTCGACGAGTCCTGCGAAGAGAATACAAACCGGTCGGTGTATGGAAACACTTGTTTACAAAGAAACTACTTCGATTTGTTTTGTAGTGTGTCCTCGCAGAATGACTATTGTGTGGAACTCAGTTAGGACTCCTAAAGGATCGAGTCCTCGGCTGGGCTTGTACTACTTGAACATGTTTCTACCCTGTGGTGGTTCATAGTCCGAGTCCCCCGGGGGGGGTAAAAGGGGGTTCTGGGGGGGGGTTCACTCGTAGTGTCTAGGTAATTGAATAAAAATCAAAAATTAAGTCAATTTAAAAATAAATAAAAATAAAAAACAAAGATGTTCTGATACTAAAAAGAAAAACCCTTTCTTCATAAAAAACAAGACACACGGTATCT